TTGACAATTTGACCCCTAAACAATCAATCTTATTCTCTTCTTATTCTTATTGTTCTATTCTTATTCTTATTGTTCTATTTTTTATTTTGTAACATGACACCAAGAACCAGCCAGATCACATGCATGCATTCTTATACTATTATATTTCTGTTATAGTATCTAAACTCACCTTTATGTCCCAAATGACAAGGCGACCATCAATCCCAGAGGTGGCAAACTTCTGAGCAGAGCTTTTGTTCCCAGTATGGATTTCCACTTTGCTAAAAAAAGAGCCAAATATGAATCACTGGAGTTTCTACTTTTTTAAACTTATATCGTAATTCCTATCTCTCCATTCTTCTGAAAGCTAAAATAAGTAGTAGCCAGCCCTAATAATTCCCTTGCAGCTATATAACATGTACAGTAACCCTTCCCAATCTGCCTAAGTCAACCCCCACCCATCTTCCCTTTTCAGCTGACACTGATTATCGCAGACACCTAACTGTTTTAACAAGAGATGACTATACACTTAATTTGGTTGTGTTACATACTTGATGGCGTTCTGATGTACAGTATTTATGGCACTTCCGCCATCAGCTTCATCGGCACCTTGTCCCTTCTTGTCCATGGTACGGAATTTAGCCATTGCACTCATAGTACCWGAGTCTTCCTTCTTCTTGGCTGCATCAAACTTYTCAATAAATGTCAATTTATCATTGTCATCGTGGGTGAACAAGTAAGGCATGTTGTTATGTCCTGTCAAATAATAGTATACATGTACATTAAATATTTTGTCTCTGGTTTGGATAAATGAAATTATTCAGAAGTTTTGGTGTTCTTTTAAAGACGTTCATCAGTGCTAAATGTTTACAGAGTTAAGATGTTTAAGTAATATATAAAATATGAATTATGGGAGACTGTTATAGGCATATAAAACTGCAAGCTGCAAGCAAGTTTAATGCCCACAAAGGTCGTACACGAGTATTTTRCATTGCTTAAACGGAAGTTAAAGTCGCATGCAAATCAGGACAAATCTCTTGCTCATATAAAGATGTGGTCACAGCAATGACTTTCCATTGTTTTATCTTAGGAATTATTAATGAATTTGATAATTGATTATAAATAGCTCTAGTCTACGTGCATTTGGTATACTAYGTATTACTTTACCTGCTGCAACTATGCTGTTCTCAGTAATCCAAACACATTGCAGTAATGGCAAAAAGTYAGTATGGACAGTGGCAATCTTGTGCTCATGTCCAGCATTCACAACACTAATGCTGCTATCATGACCAACCCACGCTAGCTTTTGTCCAGAGGCTGAGAAGGAGACACTATGAACCCATCCACCAGCACCAGTAGAAAACTCCTTAAGACAGGAGCCAAAGTTGGACTTTTTGCCCCATTCTGTGTCACAGTTGGTTTTGCCATCAACATCTTTGATGAAGGCTGAGAAAACTCTGAATCAAAAACAAAAATACAATCAAATTCATCAGTCATGATTCAATAAAATCTTCCTTCTTTATGGAGATCTTTAGCCTCCTTTTCAGGCAATTCTACTCCATGGGGTTCCTGTGTTAAGGTAAAAAAAGGTGCCCTAGGGGGAGGGGGTTAGGAAGGAAGGAAAAGCAGGAGGAGTTCTACTCCTCTTATTCATTGTTCCTAATCCCTCGGCACCAGTTCCTTCTCAGTCAAGATTATGGACACAGGAAGACCAAGAAGAGAAAAAAGTTTGTTTCCATTGGATTGGCCAGCTGGGAAGGAGGCTATTACAAACCTTGCTTTAAAGTCAGACGATCCTGCAGCAAGAAGAAGATTGTTTGGATGCCAGTCAATGCTACACAGAGAAACAAAAAATGTCAAACAAACAATAATAAAAAGTCTGATAAGAAAACTGGAACCTCATTGTAATGCCACTGAAACATTAGATTCCTACAAAATGCTCACACGTTAAGTTTACCAACTTGACTTTAAATTGTCCATACACAGGACTGCATAGCATTTCAGAAAAAATATTTTAGTTAAGCGGTTAAATATGTGCCATTAAATAAGATCTGCAGTTAGTGAACTTCGAGGAGCTATAAATTAACTCACCTCAGTACAGTAGAACGGATTGGCTTCTTTATATGCTTGCTGACCCACCTGCRAGATTCAAACAACATCAAGTTTAGTTTAGTAGTATTCTTTATTCCCAATAAATAAACACTAAACTAAACTAAACTTTAGAGCAAATTATTTACGACTGTGTKTGATGCAGCATCATTTACAGCACAAACAACACATGGCATGATCAAAGAGTACTTATACCACAGAAAACACAAAATGTAGAAACCATTTAATAAGATAAAAGCACAGCACAGGCATAAAAGTAAAGCCTTCTAGAATAAAACAACTTTCTCACCAGTCATTATCTTTCTCAAAGTAGCAGACAGATATCAAACGTGCACCACTACCAACAGCAAACTTGTCCTCTGCAGAGAAAGAGAAATATTGATGACACAGAACCTCAAGAATAAAGACAGTCACTWAAGATGTTACCTTTTGGTGACCAGCGTACACAGGTTGCAGCACGGTTAATACGYAGAATAACCAACATTGGTTTCCATTGTCCCTCATTCAGTGTCCAAACATAGGCATTTCTATCCTRTTAGTTATAAGAATTCAACTTAACTATATGTCCCCAATAACATTGAAAGATGCTTGATACAGGAATGCATTTATACTTACAGCACCACAAGTGACAAGACGGTTGCTTTGAGGAGCCCATTCCATATCTGTAACATGCTGACCATGCTAGTACATATCAACGACATTGAATTAGTTATTGAACAAGTATGAAGTCAAATGTACCCCTCCTCTACTACCCCCTTCACATTTTTAATCCATACATTAAAAACAAACAGCTGTTTTAAAAGTAGTTTTGTTTTGAACTTATAAAAATTGGTCTGAAAAATTTATCTGACCTTGGTTTCGCACTTGTTTAAAATTAATCGCTCTAGTTTTGATTTTTGAAGTGAAATGAAATGACTGCTATAAATTAACTTATTACCTCGGTCAGAATGACATCTTGGACCCACTTGTTTCCCGATTTCTTGTAGATATGCACGGTGTTATCGTTTGGACATAAGGCCAAGTCTTTAAAAGAATGGAGTTTAAATGTATTTTAGACRTTCTTAACTTTACAAGTTATGCAGTTGGACGGAAATAACCTTAAAGCTTTATATTTTGCAGCAGCAAGTTTGACTTACTCGTGCGGTCCTTGTTAAACGTGAAACAGGTTATAGGAGTTGWRGTAATCTCGTGCACTTCTTTCCCGCTCATGATGATARCGTTGTAAAGCTRTCCTGTGCCTTAAAATTACTAAATTAATCGGTTTTTCGCCGTGGACTCTGGTCAGTCTACACGACAAAATGGCTTCTCGTATGTGTAGCTTCCGTCTTCCCACCCACTGATCTAAGGTTCTTGTCTATTGGACAAATTCTAGCCAATGATAATAAATCTTAGAAATGTTTATATTTTGAAAAGTTGGAAAAAAAAAAATAAAAGGTGCATCTACTGTTAAAGAAGCTGATTTATTTTGACATATTTATATATTACAATAAAGAAAAAGAGAGGGAGGGAAAAAAAGAAAAAAAAATGATGAAGTGTGGAAATGACTCAGGCGTTCCTGGTATAAGCGCGCGCCTAAGGCCCTGGAACGAGAGACGTTTTCTGGCGCTTGGTGCAGAACGYAGGAATGGAGAACGTGGAATTTCTGAGATATATTAACCAGAAACAAGTTCGAAGCGTGTTGAGATATCCAGATCTAATTGCAGCAGTAGAAAATGCCTTAAGAGATTTCTCAGATCGTCAAAATGGTAAGGTAGTACAGCCAGTGAGAACCGCCGTCAAAGTAGCTGATCACAATGGGTGAGTTTTACAGAAAAACTTTTCTTTCTCCTCAAACACGGTCTTCTTCTCTAGATYKRTGTTTTAAATTGCTTAATTGCAAACGGAATAATACCCTTCCGTTTAGAACAATGGGCAATATCTTCCATACAGCCAGAGATACTGGTGAATAATAATCAGCCATTCCAGTTATCRTCAAATTGACACAGTTTGAGAATATAGCACCTGTCAGATAATATTGATAATAATGTAATGCCACAGTATTGTCTTTTRCACTATTTGCAGTTAATTGTTTCAYAATATCTTTAAATATTTTTTGTATGCASTYGTCAACTATTGTGAAGATTTCATTGATGGTCTTGGTTTATCKTGTATTATTTTCAGGATTTTTGCAGGAATGCCAGCATATGCAGGACGAAATCAAGCTCTTGCAACTAAATTAGTCWGTATTTATCCTGAGAATGAAAAGAAGGGTCTTTCATCTCATTTATGTCACATTTTACTGTTTAATCCAGAGGATGGGACTTTGAAAGCTGTAAGTTTTTCACTATGAATGTTTTTGAATGTGTCAAAAGTAATGTAACTACAGATGCAATGATGAATTTGTAGTGGTGTTATTGCAAACACACATGAATATGATGTCTAATGGTGTGTACATGGATTGCCTTACAGATAATGGACGGAGAGGTCATTACGGCAATGAGAACTGCAGCAGCATCAGCTGTTGCCACAAATGTATGTATTTGAAAATATATTACTCTGTGGAAAGTCATTTCTGTTGCCTCCCCTGGCACAATTGCAATTCATAGAATTATGTTATTATAATGCCCTTATATTTCTTAATTTTTTTCCTAGCACTTGGCGAGAAAAGACGTAGAAGTATTGGCAATTCTTGGGTCTGGTACTCAAGCAAGAAGTCACATTGAAGCTTTGAAGCACATTAGAACATTTTCAGAAGTAATTATTATATGTAATTATATTGATTATTGCTGAAAAATGTTCATTCCAAGACAAATCTTCCTCAGGTAAGAGTGTGGAGTCGTACAGAAGCAAATGCAAAGAAATTTGCCGATGAATACAATGCTAAGTGTTGTAAAACAGTCAAAGAAGCTGTTGATGGAGCAGACGTCATTGTCACAGCTACATTTGCTGTTAACCCTATCTTGGAAGGAAAATGGGTCAAGCATGGTGCTGTTATTAATGGTGAGTATTTGAAGTGACTGAGCAACAACCTCCTTTAATTTTCCAGCCTATTAGTTAGTTAGTTAGTCAGGCGGATGACTCCGAGATTCCAGCCTATGTTGTCAGGAAATGCCACTCCTGTGGCTATGCAAAAAAAGCTCCTAATGGAGTGATCTGATGTCAATATGGTATTTATAATTACATAATTATTATAGCTGTGGGGGCACCTACTCCCAGTTGGCGCGAGCTTGATGATGATGTAATGCAAAATAGCTTTATTGTTGCTGACAGCTTGGAAGCTGCAAAAGTAGAATCTGGAGATGTAATTCATTCCAAGGTAAGATGTACTTGATACTATTGAGGTACATGGAAATGAAGCTCAATTCCTACTGTATGGATCCCATATGCAGTGTATTTTTCATTCTTTGGTATCTCCTTTAGGTATCAGTTGCAGGAGAAATTGGAGATGTTATTGCTGGGAAACTTGAAGTACCAGTGGACAAAACAATTGTCTTCAAATCGTTGGGTAGGGTTTCACATAAAATAATGTTTTCTTTTTGTGTATGAATAGTTTGACAGTGATTCAAGGTCAGATTCAGGATAGAGGGTGCTAGGACTGGGTAGAGGGAATTTCTTGAACCATTTTCCTGCATATAGAACTGATTACTTTTACATTGTTTGACTAACCATCTGCAGTAATATTTATCAAATTTTCATTCACTAAGTTTCTTTTGAAATGTTGTAGTAAAAATTTTTTCCACATTTTCACAGGTATTGCTGTGGAGGATGCTGTAACTTCAAAACTAGTCTACGACAAGCTTGTTGAGCAGGGGTTGATAAAATGAAGATTTTTAGCATAGACAGAAAGTTTGTCCTTGGATTTCATATGAAGGCATTTATTACATACATAATAACCTTGAACCCATATAGTTGATTTCTCTTTTTTCACTTTATAAATGTTTCTCATCATGGTCTTCAAGATGTGGCTGTGATCCAAGAATAAAAGTGTATCATCAAATGAACATTAAAATAAAACAATAGATTACTAATATATTATAATTTTTATATATTCATGGAAATTATTAAAAGCTATGAAATGCCATATTATTGTTATTATTACATAGTTAAATGGTTGTTATCTTACAAACTCAATTCCTTCTATTGTATTGGAGAAGAATGAGCCATGATCAAAATTTCACCTTTTTTTCCCCAGCTTTTTCGGGTTCCCTGTGTCAGAACGAAGCGCAAAGCATGATGGATGATGAACGATTAGAGCACGTTTTCCAAGATGGCGAAGCATCATCCAGATTTGATTATGTGCAGAAAACAACCCGGTGTTGGTGAGTAAAAGCTACATATCTTAGATACACTAATTGTAATTCTCACAAAATTTTTCTTCCTTTCTTTTAACAGCAATCGGAAGACTCTGCGAGAAGTGTAAGTACATTTATTAGTTGTCGTTGACATTTTGCATTGTTGAGCTTTCTCTGATTTTGAGAATATTTTCACAACTTATTCTGAGGTTGCATTTATGTTTGATATATTGAGAAATCGTATGCTCTTATTAAATTGATATTATTTTGTTTCAGGCGATGGAAAGTGTGTTATATGTGATTCATATGTGCGTCCTTGTACGTTAGTAAGAATATGTGATGAATGTAATTATGGTTCTTATCAAGGACGGTGTGTTATATGTGGAGGTCCTGGTGTATCAGATGCTTACTACTGTAAAGAATGCACAGTTCAAGAAAAAGATGTGAGTTTGATACTATCATT